TTCTTCTCTCTCTCTCTACCTCCTACCTACTACTCTCCTCCCTCCTCTCTCTCTCTCTCTCTCTTTCTCTCTCTCTCTCTCTCTCTCTCACACACACACACACACATCTTTTCTCTCTTATAATTTTCTTTATTTTTTTCCCTACTTGTTCCCTTGTGACAGCAAAATATACCAAGCCCTGTCATCTTATTGCAGCACTAATGCAATAATTCAAACCCCAGTCTTCTGCTGCTTTGTTAGAGCAGGCATACTCTGCAGGTTTTCAGTCTGAATGGCCCTGGCTGGTCAGTTCTGAAGCCTATTAACTTCCTTAATGGCCTGCTAGGTATCTTGTTATCAGGGAGAAGATTAGATCTTAATCAAGAAGGATGACAAATAATAAATCAAGCAAATACTATATGGAAATATGCCGTATCATTGGTGGATTTCTGCCTCATTTATTCAACTTAGACCTGGAAGTGGAGATGAAAGTTTCTGCAAATTTCCATATTTTTTAATGATTTTTCAATTGAAAATCCTCATTTTTCCCATAGTTACTAATAGTTTAAATGTCAAATGGTTGTTGAAAAAAAAAATGATTGTATCAAGGGTCCCTAGTTGAACCAGTGGGGTAGACAGAAAAGAGTGCTGCATGTAAATTATTACTATAGCTAGATCGATCAAGTTTCAAGAGATAATAAAACATAGTTAAAGAACCTTGAAGAACTTTAATATTTTGTGGAGTTATGGTGAAATTATCACTTTCCTTTGGCAATCCTTGCTTTGGGCTTCGACTCATTTTGATGACTTTTGGTTAATAATGGTTACCTGTTACAATGTCATAATAGCTTTTTTTATAACTGGTGTTTTGGCTCAGTTGCTACTCAAGCAAGCTACGTTTGATTGAAGTGTTTTCCATTTCCACTCACTTCACTAAGTGTTACTGCAGGCTGTTCCAAGTCAATCTGCTCGAAGAGCGTTGTTTGAACATTATGTTAGGACACGAGCTGAAGAAGAGCGCAAGGAAAAAAGAGCAGCTCAGAAGGCTGCACTAGATGCTTTTAAGCAATTACTAGAAGAAGCCTTGGAGGTTTTGGTTTAAATATTGTTGTATCATTTAGTTGTTGAAGTTTATCTTTCAATGGATCTCAACAAAAAATGACTTACGAGCTATGCTTGTCAGGACATTGATCACAAAACTGACTATCATTCATTCAAAAGAAAATGGGGTGGTGATCCACGATTTGAGGCTATAGATCGCAAGGAAAGAGAGCTTTTACTGAATGAGAAGTATGTTCAACTGCTGCTTGAGTCCAAGTTACTTTATATTCTTGGGTTTTGTTTTTTCTTCCTTTTCTATAATCAGCTTGTCTGAGAGTACATATTTGATCTTATATGTTTATTTGCCGAAGAGTGAAAGCTGCTGATGAAAAGATGCGAGCATTACGCATGGCTGCAGCAACTAGCTTTAAGTCTATGCTACGTGATAATAGAGATATTACGACAAGCAGCCGATGGTCCAGGGTAAGTACCATAAATTGTTACAGGGATCATCATAAATTCAATCTTATGGTTGATCACATGATTCTTTTGCTTCCAAGAAATTTTAACTTAATATTATTGCTATTATATGACCTTCCATGGTGTATAACTAATTGTGTTCATTGAATTCTATGTAAACCTCTTTGCAAAAAATATAGACCGCAAGCTAAAGCACTCAATGGAACAGAAACACCACCATGGTGTGTAGCTAATTGTGTCAAATCTGTAAGAGATGCTGAAATTGTTTTGGGCTTGGAAAGTGCTGCGCATATCTAGAGAGGGTAATTGTAGTGTGCACTGGCTTGGCAATTTGCTTTATCTACCAAATTTTGTGATGTGTGCACGGGTAATTTGCATCCCGAGTTCCATACTATTTTGTGCTCCAAGGAGCATGGTTATAGTTGTAATCTCTTTGTTTCTGATTGAATATAGTCTCCTTTTGCTTGGGAAAAAATGAAAAATATGACCTTCCAGTATTTGCACATTAACTATTAGAAATTGGTATATTGATTATTATTTTGTGTGTGTTATTATCCAGATGACGGGAAGGTTATCTATGAGCTGTTTTGACCTAAATATCTTTTGTTCTTTTTGTTTAGTGGATGCACAACTTGTGGAGGGTGGGCCTTGGTAATGTTAAGATTATGCCTTTGCAACTAGGGAGACCATGATATGAGTATCAGAAACAACCTTTCTAAATATAGGATAAGACTGCATATATTTACCCTACCTAGACCCCAGATTGGCGTGTATAACTAATTATTTCAGTCATGGAAATGACCTTTTTGCAAAAACTAAGTTGGTATGCATTGAATTCCACGTAAAGCGCATGTTGGCAGGAGTCTTGTGCATAATGCAGCTTTTTTTATTAGCCACCAACTTTCCTAGTTAGATATAGAGGCTGGTAAATCTCATTGTTAAAGTGTGTTAATACTCTATAGTTGATGGGTAGAGCCAAATAATGTAATTATGCAATTGTGTTATACTATTTGATTAAATGAAAAAAATTCTATTATTTATAGTCAGGATCTTGCTATAGACTACAGAGGAAAAACTGAGAACAACATTTACTCATTTCCTCTCCACCATTAATGGTTCATCACGGGATCCGTTGGATGGCATTGGATCTATTTGGGTTGATTTTGTCAGAACAAAAAAGATTCAAGTTGAGACAAGCCAGCCATTTAGGAATTGGTTAGGATCAGTTAGTCCTGGATATTTTAAAAATTATACTACTCTGGTCAAAGTTGGATTTCTGTAGATTTGTGTGACTTTTAATTGTCAATCCTGGAAGATCAACCAAACTGTGGGGTGTGGTCAACTCATATTCATATAGTTCTTGCAAACTGTCTGAAACAATATGTCAGCTAAAGTCAGTTTATTGCAAAGTTGTGTGCTCGAATTTTGCCTTCGCCACATATTTAAAAAAAATAAGAAAGATGAAAGACATTTGAAAATTCACAAAAAAAGTTGGGTGCAGAATCTGATCTGAAACATATATCATATGATAAAAACCGACAGTCTAAATCCTTCAACCTTGATAGTGATACATTGTTATTCCATTGTATTAATTAGTTACAGATCTTTGTTGTCATTAGAAATTTCATCGAAGAATATGAATCTTGTTGATGAGCACAAGAGCTGAAAGCTATCTGGCATGAGCCATGTGCACTTAAGCTGCCTTTTTAGCTTCACAACTTTCTTTCTCCTTGTTTTGTAGAGTTTCTCTGTCAAATTGCCTGGTTCTCATTTATTCTGCCATTTTGCTTCATGAAATCTTGCAGTTACATGCTTGCTTCTCTGTTCATTCGCATCTACTTCTGAACTTCTAGTAAGCAAGAACTTATGACTACTTTTCACTCTCTTTTTGGATAAAATTTGACTTTGTGATTTCCTTTAGATAAAAGAGAGTTTGAGGGATGATCCAAGGTATAAGGCTGTGAAGCATGAACAGAGGGAAACCTTGTTCAATGAGTACATTGCTGAACTGAAGTCTGCTGTAGATGAAGTGGAACGATCAGCCAAGGCTAAAAGAGATGAACAGGTAAGCATGGTTAACCTTTTGCAAATTCCTATTGGTTCATTCTGTTTAGATGAACATATAATTATGACCCTTTGTGGTAGTATTTTTGCAACAGTGTGCTTGCTTAGTGTATGAAAGATACATCTAAACATTTACAATATTTTCCAGGATAAATTGAAGGAGAGAGAGAGGGAATTGCGGAAAAGGAAAGAAAGAGAAGAAAAAGAGATGGAGAGAGTTAAACTAAAAGTTCGCAGGAAAGAAGCTGAATACTCTTATCGAACTTTGCTTGTTGAGATGATTAAAGATCCAAAGGTTTCAGCATTACTTCTCTCTGATTTTTATTATTGTTGGGTTATGTATTGCTCTTTATCTGCAATACAGTCATTTACATGTTGATGTTCAAATCAAGTGCCACTCTTAAGATGTTATAATCAGACTACTTTCCTCGAAGTTGGTTACAGATGATGTGTCCTTAAATTAAAATATTTATTTCCGTGATTAAGGATGACTGTCACCTGTAGAAGTCCAGGTGCATCAGCATGTCAGTAGCTTGCTTTGTCCTCTGAACTTTAGCATGCATATTTTGTTTCCCAGGCATCTTGGACAGAGTCTAAGCCAAAACTAGAGAAAGATCCACAAGGCCGTGCAACAAATCCTGATTTGACACAAGAAGACGCTGAGAAACTATTCCGCGAACATGTTAAAGATTTGTATGAGGTAAATAACCTTTTTTTTAGTTGTTGATCCTTATGTTTTATTTCTAACTTGACAATGTGAGCATGCCTTTGGTTGATTACACTTCCTTCGGGATCAAGCTGTTGACTTCTCATTGACTGATGTTGATCATAATCTTCAGATGGTATTTTTTATAAATAATTCAATCAGATATAGCTGAGTTTGTTTTTTTCCTCTGGAGTTGCAATATGTGAAACTTAGTCTATACTAACATAGGACAACATAAAGGGTGCTAAAACTCATTTGAGAGTAGAATTGGTGAGCATATTTTCTCAGCAGTTTTAGATTTTCGTGGAATGTATCTGGTAAGGGAAAAGCACAGTACAACAGGATTTTTGGTGCTTTAAGGCTTGTGTAATAGAGGAAAATAATAGGTAAGTGATTGATAAGAGATAAATATTTAATCTCACTCCAAGTTCTCTGAAATCATTGAGGGGCAAAAGATTACGATTTCACACTGCATTCATGTAATGTTAGAAAAAAAATTCCACTCCCTTTTATATGTCTTCGTTAAGAAGGATAATTATAAAAATTATGTAAAGAATATAATCAAGAGAATTACGTATTACAAGTGAAGGTAGATTAATCGTTTCTTGTTTCTTTCTTTCTTTCTTTATGGAAGATGCATTCTTATATTTGTTTTGGCAAAGATAAAATTTTTGGTTGGTTGTTCATAGAATTGTCAATAAAATGCAGTTATTTCAAAGGCTAAAATGAAAACATGTTCAGTTGAACCTATATCCAAGGTCATCATCAATCCAAAGGTTTTCGGGTTGACATTTTTTTCTTTTCGTGTGCATTGTAGATTTGGAAGGTGTCTCAATTTCCATTATATATTTTGTTATTCATACATCTTGTTCATACAGATTGGGTTGCTTTAAGTCTTACAACTTGGATTCTGTCATGCTTTGTTTTGACATAGACAGTTCTACAGCTTCCAACACACTGCTATGTATTCTTCACCTGCTTTCTGTTTTTGAATGAAGTCCCTGGAATAAGCTTTTAGGAGCCCTTGTTTGGGGACTGGGCATATGTTGTCACAGTCCTGCCTGTTATTTCTTTACTTTTAAATGTGAATCTGACCTATTTTATTAGTGTCATTTTTGTCAAAACTTGTTAAACTTTGCCACAGAAATTTCATGTGTCTGTTTTTTGTGTTTATTGGCCCAAATTTTGTTACGGATTAAGTTCTTTCATTTGGGTGTCATGAATAAGCTTTTTGTGTGTTTTTCTAATAACTAATACTCATAATTGTGTGATTATTTTATTGTATTGTGATTGTCTTGTCCTTCTTGTTGATATGAAAGTGTATTTTTGTAATTTAGGGCATTGCACTTCAGAACTTATCATGCTTGTGTTTGGAGTATGTTTATGGAATAAATGATAAATGCATCATTATGCATATTTTGAGATGGAATATGTGATTTTTTAAATTTCGTTTTCTTTAGAATTTTGTCACACAAAAGTATGTATGTGTATTTATATATTTATGTATTTAAATTTGGATTTCTGAATCATTTTTAGCTTATAGGTTTCAGCACTGAATATACCACTTGGAAATTGTAGAATTCAGTGTTTGTTTCACGTTAGAGATGTTGCAAATTTATTATTGCCTACGCTTTCTAGTCCTGGTGGCACTCACGGTACCATGTTCCCTGTGCAGCGTTGTGTGAATGACTTCCGGACGCTGCTTGCTGAAGTTGTGACTGTGGAAGCTGCTGCTGCAAAAAATGATGATGGGAAAACGGTTCTCAATTCTTGGTCTGAAGCAAAACTCCTGTTGAAGCCTGACCCTAGGTACTCCAAGATGCCAAGCAAAGATCGGGAGTCTCTCTGGCGCCGGCACACAGAGGACATGTTGCGAAGGCCGAAATCAGTGTCCGACACTAAGGAGTCTCCTGGTACAAATGGCAGAAATAGAATGTCATCTGCTGCTGATCCTTTGAAAAGGTCACCCGGTAGATCTCATCGACGAAGGTAGCTTTATCAGTTACCTCACCCTCCATGTATTTATTTAAACTAAGAGCGAGCAAGCTAAGTTAGCTGTTCAGGGGAACCTTTTCCCTTTACTAAGCTAGGGTGGTCGTCATGTAACAATGTTTTTCGAGCTGCTTAGAGGACACTACTGGGAGAGCGTCACAGCCGGGCGGGCATGAGGTGATTGATTTATGCTATACATGAGATTGCACTTTTTTTTATCCATGTTTTGTGGTGGTGTGTTGCATTCACAGTATCTGCAGACGTATTTTGCTGTTACTCTCTGGGAGTAGTCTCTCTTGCCTGGTTTACCACCCAGTATGCACTTGAGATAATACTTGTTATTAATGATAAGGGGGGGGTTTCTATTTTCTTCGCTGCTATGATTTCACTGAATTTGGAGAACGGGAGGGTGCGGCATATGTTAATTGAGATTGAGATGGATGATGCAATGCTAAATGCAGGGATGCGTCGTAAAGTTAGTTAGATTCGAGAATAGCTATGATGAAATTTGTGAAGGACTCTTAATCGGTTGTCTTTTCTGGTAATTAGTGGAGGGGTAGCTTGCATTAATGAATATTCTACCTTTGCTAAACAACTCCTTTTCAATTTACATTACGTCGCCCTTTTAATGTTTCGGCTTTGGAATATGGAAATTCGAAGCCAGATGAAAACCAGTTTGAAGGGAAAAAAAAAGGAATTTTATTTCGACGGGACCGGCGGCCTTGTGATCTCTCTCGTAGTCGCCAGTGTTTGGATCTGTCTTTTCTCTCCATCGTTTAGTAAATGAATTTAGGCTGTTTTTCGAGATAATTCAGATGTTTTTTGGATTTTCTCGGATCAAACCTCTTTTCTTTTCATCTTAACAGAATCCCCCTTTATAAAATGGTCAAAATATCGCAAATTCCTTTATTTTTGGATAAGAGAATATTTTGGTCATTTTGTAATTGAATTTTACGGCGAAAGATTAGGAGAAAAAAAAAAAGATAAATAGAACAATGCAATACCATCTCGTGTAATCTTCACAAGTGTGCTTTCCCGAATCTTCGCCGCCGCCGTGCTTCGATCCACTGTCCCCGGCGCCACGAGGCAGGTCTACTTCGTCAAGGCAACTCCTTGCCTGCACACCCTCCTTCTCGGTCGCCCTACTTCTACGAGTTAGTTCTGATCTCTCTCTCTCTCTCTCTCTCTCTCTCTCCCCATCCCGTTTTCCAATCTTGCGTCTTTGTCGTTGCGCGATGTGAAATTTGGCTTCTTTCGTCGTTCCCTGCTCTTGATTGCGGTAGTGATCTGCCGATTGTTCGGTTAAATGTCTCACTGAGTCAATTGGAATACTTGGCCCAGGTTTCCTGATGGCCAGGTTGTTCAGAGTTCGAAGAATTATGAGGTGAGTGATTCGTGCAAGTAATTATAGCTTACGCGTGGTTTGAATTCTTTGTGTTGATATGGCTGCTTACTCTTGAAGAACACTGTGCTATGGTTCTCCAGGAAACTTGGATTTGAAAAGGATGATATTTACTTCGTCAAGCAGATGGGGAAAGCTATGCTCTACACCTATACGATCTTTGGGCTAGCTTGGTTGTGGAATGAAACTTCTCCGCTGGGTTGGTGGAATATTCAGCCGCGGCCAAAGGTGAGAATACGTGCTTCCATCGATTTCCTGGGTTGAATTTAAAATGTTTTCTTGTGTTTGTAGTACTTTACAAGTGCATGTATAAGCAATATTTTTTTATGGAATCCAATTCTCCATCAAAGCCCTATCAGCTAATTCTTTAGTCTAGCTTCCAACCAGGGTTATATTTGCCTATAGATGTGGATTGCCATTTCTTGCTTAGAAACTTTCATAATTATATATCTTCTTTCTTTGATTCAGAAAGGCATCATCATAGATGACTTATTTTAGTATCGAAGTCCATCCTCGTTATGTGGAGATTGATCAGGTTACTCAAGGTAATTATTTAGCTCATAGAATCTTCATTTGAAACAACCTAGGGTTTTAGTTGATGAAAGTGTAGACAGCCTCTTGTTAATCCATGATGGAAGTCTGAAAAAAATAAAATTTTGAGTCCTTGTCTTTCCCTTGATCAAAATCAAGTTTAGTTGCCATGTGTTAAAATGTTAATTTGATGTGACGAACTGTCTTTCGACTGTGTCACGTTGGAGCTAAAGATACTCCGCTCTTCCCTAGCAACCTAGTAAGCTGAGAGCGGCACATGTTGCTCTTCCCGTGGTGGTTGTATAGTTGAACTCAATAAGGATAATCATTCCAATCTTTTCTGGTATTTTCTTGATCAGATAATTTGTACTTTTAAGAAGATTGGTATAGGGTGAGAGTTTGTTTTTGGCTGGCCTTAGAATGTGTCTTATATTTAACTAATGTTGTAGTCTTTATGGAATTTGGCAGCTTAAAGGTGTTTAATTGTTATATCACCTGAGAAACTTGTAATTTATTTATGCTTAAAATTGTAACTAATTGAAGTATATATTGGTCTCTTATTTCACTGTCATGAAGCAGTTTTCTTTCTTTCAGCGGATCATATGCTGGCCTCGGCCTTCTACGCTTTGTAGAATTGAACAAAGTGGGCCTTCGTCTTTTCGGCCATAAGCAACTGCAATCTAAATGGATACATGAATTGAGTAATTATTGATGTTTTTTCTATGTCAGCTTCTTCTAGTTCACCATGTATGCCCAAGACACAGTGCCTGAACAGAATGTGGCTCCACTTGCTGTAGTTTCATGAAGTAACTGATGTTTTTGGTCCTATGTGTGGAGATAACAGTATTAATATCCTCATTAAAGCATATCTAGCTTGTTCTTCATCATATCTTTCCTTCTCCTTTTCTTTGGACAACAGAACTTGAAGGGATTTTTTTTTTTGTGTATATAGGAGGAGAAAGAGATGGCTCACCTATATGAGCGCAGAAGATTTCCATACCCGGGCGACCAAGAGGCAGTCGATGAGTTCATTAAAAGCGGAGGAAGTCTTGGCACTACCATTGGACCCAAAGGATTTATAGACAGCGATAAGGATATTGACAACCTGCAAAAACAATTGCAGTCTCAAAAATTTGAACAGGAAGCTCAAAAGCTATGGTTTCGCATGAGGAATGAAGTCATACAGGAGCTCCAAGACAAGGGCTTCGATGTCGAGTGAAGATGCTCGAACAAAGAGTACGATTAAAGAGCTCGATCACGGACAACTTTAGGAAATTGACTACTACTAGTAGGTTATGGTTGTTAAAATTCCATGCATGTGCTGGTTTGATTCTATGTCAAGTTGCGACACAGTTGGCACAAAACTTTGGTTTGCAGAATTCCTCTCTCACAATAACAGTAATAGCACTGTAAGAATTCCCTTGTGCCGTTCATAAATGGTATGATGTCTGGTATCGGCTGATGTTCACAAATGAAACCTGAAAAGAGTACTTTCACATACCATATATTGAGTTCATCTCGAGATATATTAGTAGTAGACAGTGCATTATTGTGTGTACATGTGAGACCTTCTTGTGCCGACCAAACGAATGGAAACTAATTAAGAAATATACGCTTTCATGAATTACATCAATAATTTTTTATTTAATTTGAAGGTGTCATTTAGCTTAGTTAGTAAAGATCTTAATTGTTTATCATAAAATCTTGAATTAATTTTTTTTTTCATTATTTACCCTTTATAAAAAAATATTTTTTTATAAAAAAATAATAAATTAATTTTATAAGAAAGTGTCAAATAACTTAATCAGTAATTTTTTTTGATATTTTATTATAAGATTGCCCACTTAAATTTTTGCTAAAAATATAATTCAAATACTAATATTCAACAACACATCATATAATTTGGTATTGATCATATATATATATATATATACTCGGTTCAAGACGGTCCATCCGGTCGAAGAGATGCGCAACCCGGGTCGGGTCGGTTCGGACCGTAACGGTCACAAATTCCCAGCTTAATAGCCGTCGCCGTGCGAACCCGTCAGAGAGACGCTGCGATCGGTTCCATGGTGGGGGAAGCCCCGTCGGGACTTCGCATCGTTCTCCGCCAGCATATCGAAGAGGTCTCCAGCCGCGCCGATCGAGGTCGAGTTTTTGGGTGAGCGATCTCGAACTCTCGTCCCACATCTCCTTCTCTTTCCTGGTTTATGAGATTGTTGTTCCACTAGATCTAACGATGTCACTGGATAGATAGTACCGAGCAGGGCTTGATGAAAAGAGTCTTGGGGAATTTGTTGACGCTGAAGCAGTCCTAATAGTTAGGTTTTGGTTTTGTTATTCTTTAATGAAGCATTTCTTGGGAAGAAAAGGAATCAAGAAAACCCCCAGCTTTTTTCTCTTTCTTGCTTCATGAGATTGTTGTTCTACTAGCTTCGATGATGTCATTATTGTTAGTGAACCTTTACGCCATGGCCGAGGTGTCAGCACGGCTCGGTCCAATCCCAGATGCATAAGGTTATCCATGCGGATGCTTGGGTGACGGAAGCGAGCATCGGGTCAGGTTGAGTTTGAGCCTCATCTCCTAAGTGCAGTCTTCTTTCTTGGCGAGTGGCCTGCTTCTTCGTCGCCGGACTCTTGCACACAAGCGGAGGTCGAGAGGGGGATTTCTCAACTCGATCCCTCCAAAGATTAAGTTAGTATTGAGTGAAGTAAGAGGGAGTTGAATGCTCAAAGTCCTTCCCTGATGCCGATCAGGGGGTTGGCTTTTATACCTGCAAACGAGGGTCGATCGTATGTGATTTGTTAATGGCGGCCGATTCCTCGGACGATCGGTTTGTACCTCCTGTGCGAGTGCCGATCGACCTGCACGGATCTGCGCCACGCGATGTCATTCCGAGCTTTCCGGAGTGGCTTTGTGCTATGCGGCATCATCTCATACGGCCTCGGACAGCGCGGGAACAAGCGGTCGTCCGATCCGAGTCCGAGGTGTTACGTTGATGCAATGCACCATATCGGCCCTGAGGCTCTGCATTGGCGCTGCTAACTGTTGCCGTGGGGGGTGGTACCAGAATATGCCCTATCAATTGTGTAGTACATGTTAGGACTTGGCGAAGAAAAGAGAATATTTTCTTGGAGAATTGATTGACTCCAGAGTTTTATTGTTCTCTTTCTTGGTTTATTGGAAAATCAAGAAACCCCCCCACATCTCTCTTTTGCCCACTCTGTTCATGAGATTGTTGTTCTGCAAGCTTTAACAATGCCATTAGGGGAATTGGTTAACACCAAAGCAGTGCTAAAAGTAAGGAAATTTAGGTTTAGGTCTTGAGATAGATGTTCCTGTAAAGAGAAGGAATTAAAAAGCATGATCATGGTTGTTTGATGAGTAGTTCTGGCATTCATGAATTTTATACGGGGACAAAAAGTTTATTTCTTATTTTTCTCTTTTAAAAGGGCCATTTCATATATGCTCACTAAAGGAATAAATGTAAATCCTACTAAACCAATATAAAATGGAAACTGAACTCTGTGATGAGAAACAGTCCCATTATTGAACATTTATCATTAGAAAGCAGTAGACCATAATTATAAAAAAGAACTAGTTATAAGAATTTGTTGTTGCTTATCGATAAAGATTTGATTGAATAATTGTGTAAATAAATTATAGCTTGGATTTGAGGCAAGTGGCTTGTTGAATGAAAAATCTTAAAAAAATTTTATGCAATTTTCGTATGAGGTTTTAATATATTGGAACTTGGATAAGCATATATATTGATATATTATTTGAATCAAAGAAGGCAATACCGAATGATACTGCCCGGTACGGGTGGTACGTACCGGTCTGACGGCATACCGGTACGCGGACCGCCCGCTACCGAGCGGAACGAAAAATAATATTATATATATATATATATATATATATATATATATATATATATATATATATATATATATA